CAAACAAACAAACAAACAAACAAACAAACAAACAAACAAACAAACAAACAAACAAACAAACAAACAAACAAACAAACAAACAAACAAACAAACAAACAAACAAACAAACAAAAAACAAAACAAAACAAAACAAACAAAAAAAGCAAACAAACAAACAAACAAACAAACAAACAAACAAACAAACAAACAAACAAACAAACAAACAAACAAACAAACAAACAAACAAACAAACAAACAAACAAACAAACTAACAAACAAAACAAACAAACAAACAAACAAACAAACAAACAAACAAACAAACAAACAAACAAACAAACAAACAAACAAACAAACAAACAAACAAACAAACAAACAAACACACACACACACAAATGCCTCTGTGTCAACGTGTCAGCTTTGCTGCCTCCAAATTTTGTCAGCGTGTCGGCTGTGTCGGCGTCAGGTGTGTCGGCCCCAGATTTTGTACCCCAGATTGATTATCAGTGTGTCAGCTGCCCTGTGTGAGCTTGCCGATCGCCATCCAGTGGGTGTCAGGAATCACCAGTGAAGTCTTGCAATGGCGGAGACAAGTTGCGGAAAGAGAGACCGAGGCTCTCAAGAGGACCCTCCACTCAGTTTGTTGCAAGTTCTGGTTGCTGTTGGTTTGCCAGGACAGCGGCGTTGGGGAGCCCGAGGTGCTGTTGGCGCACAGGTTCTTCAGTTAGTAGTAGCCCTGTTGCAGAGGCCGTCCGTTCATTCCTTCATTTTGTGTGGTTTGTTTTGCTGCTACGCTACGCCCGTTGGAGGCTCAAGTTGCTTTGCGCACCAGCCCTCCGCGAGAGGACGCTTCAATCAGCAGTTGCAAATTTGGCCGGTCGCCGGTGCCAGGACAGCGACGCGGAGGCCGGGGGCTCGCGTGCGCCAGGCTTGGTTGTTGGTGGGTGCTGGCAGGACTGGCTCGCCAAGAGCCGTGAGGAGGTGGAGGGCTTCGGCAAGGATCAGGTGAGCAGATTGACCGAAGCAGTGCTGAGCGAAGGCAAGGTCAGAGATGAGCTGATCCAGCAGACGGTGACCACACTGCAGCAGCAGGGCGTCACCGGCAAGTCCCTGCTGAAGCTGACACTGGAGAAGCTGATGCAGGTTCACATCCTGTGGGGGCCTGCAGAGCTTCTGGCCGAGAAGATCCGGCTGTTGCAGGAGCCCCAGGCACGGCTAGAAAATCGTTTGCTCTTGACTTTGTTCTGAGACGTGTGGTTTTGTGCTGTGGTTTTGACATTCCCTGACCGGAAATGCATTCAGTGGGGCTGCCTTCACATCCACAGAACCAGAAAATCCAAAGACAGCGCTTTTTGCAGAGTGCAGCGCTTTCTTGTTTTGGAAGCTGGCTGCATTTTGGCGGTGTTGGTTTGGCTCGTGGAGCCCCACTAGATGGTTGAGCTCCCGTGCATCAGCCTTGCGTCCGTGCGCATTGTGTTCGGTTTTCGTTGGTGGTTTTTTGGTTCGGTCTTGCTCCCTGCCATGACCTTTCAAAGCTCAAATCTCGAACAGCTAATGCTTCATCTTGTCGTGTGGTCTTGTTCGTCGTATGCCCTGCAGGCAAGTGCGATCAAGGACGGGGAATTGCGGTTGTGACATGGCTCGCGTCCCGTGTGTGCTCGCGGCTGCAGGACGACTCAAATGCCACGGCGTTCATCCAGGAGCTGGTCAAGGCCAAGCCCAAGGACCTCGGCGAAGGCCGGGAGGACCGCGGATCAGTTTTGCTTTTCTTGCTGAAGCCATGCTGAGGCGTGCAGGTCTTCGACCTCAAGGAGTGCCTGTCCGCAAGGCCCTATGACCTGAGCGGGAGGAAGCTGCTGACGCGGAACACGACGCGCCAGGCCTGGAAGGCCACCTTTGAGCTGATGAAGAACGGCACGAAGCGCGTGGCCATGATGGGATCCCCGGCATCGGCAAGAGCAGGTCCCTGGCGCTGGGCCTGTGGTACCTGGTGTCGGGCGAGCGCCCGGAGTGGATCAAGACGCCCGAGGCCATTGTCTACGAGGCCCGGGAGGGCCTCAAGGTCTTCATTTTCACCAACAAGGACGGTGACTGGAAGGCGCAGAGCATGGCGTTGGAGGACTGGAAGCCAGGTTCCTGCGAGCACCTGCAAGTGGAGCACAACTGGTATTTGGTGGATACTTACGGCAAGGAGACCACGGGGAAGCTGCCGGCCAAGACGGTCAAGGCCTGCAGCCCGGACAGAGAGCACTACACAGATTTTGTGAAGAGCGGTGGGGCTTGTGTGTACGTAGAAGCGTGGAAGAAGGCTGAGCTGGAACTGGCCTATGTGCATTTTGCACAGCCTCCGGTCGACAAGGACACGGTGTTGCGCAGGTTTCAGGATGTTGGAGGCAACCTGCGTGCCCTGTTTCACGACGATGGAGACCCCTTCTGACCTTCGCGTGGTTTCCGAAGGAGTTTGCTGCCCACCGCATCACTGACAGTTCCATGACGCACGACAAGGCCAAATGGAAGAGGACTCCGTGCGAGCCTTTGGTAATTGAGCCGGATTTGCAGCTGCTGAAGTGCGACACTCAGCACATTATGGATGAGAAATGGAGCCAGGCCGTGGAGAAAGGCGACCTTGAGAAATACCTGCTACACAGCCCGGACCAGTACGTAGGCGTCGATTACTTGCTTAAGTTCAATCATGGCATCTTCGTCACAACTGGTTTAAATCACAGCATCGCAAAGGGCTTTCTAACAAAGCTGCAGGACATTTTCAAACACTGCAAGGGAAAGTACAGTTTCACCCTGTCTTTTTTCATTACGGGAGAGCCCGCAAAGTTCGCCCCGGAATCAGGAGAGGAGTTCAGAAACTTCATGGCGATGGCACAGGGGCCAGACAAAGTGTTTGAGAACGTGTGTGTACAGGTCGTGCAGGTCCGAAGACGCGAAACAGCAACAGCATGGAGACAGTCTAAAAGATGCGGAGTGTGTGGACTTGCTCACGACTTATCCCGTTTTCCTTGACTGCTGTGGGGTTGGTTCTTTAGACTTTAACTTTTTGGGAAATCAAGGGGTTTTCCACTAGACCCCCAAAAAGTTAAACTTTTTGCAGGGGGGTGAACAGCGACCAAGGTTCGCGCCAATTAACTTTGGTGCTTGGCTTTTCAGTCCAGGCTCAAGTCGGGGACTGCGGGGCGGTCGCTTGAGAACTGGCTTAGCGATAAAACATTGATGAATTTGTGACTTTATTTGCTGGCTGAATGCGACTCTCGCGATTCAGCTCTTGTTCTGCAGCATGATCTTGTCGTGGGGCAAATGTTGATGCTCACACGAGCACTTACTTTGGACCTAGAAGCAAGGAGAATCAACCAAACTCCGGCTCCGAGATGGCGTACCGCCCGAGCTACGGGAGGCTGGTGACGACTCCGTTGACTCAGGGCTTGCAGAGGCTTTCTGTTGCGGATGGGCGAATGGCGAATGGCTTTTCGATTGGGTGAATGCCCGCAGTGACCGGTGTTTTGCGCGACGGCAATTATTTTTTGTTTGTCGTTTTTAGTTTGGATCCAGAGTTTGAACGCGAAAACCGTTTTTGCGGATCCGGACGTCATGCAAGATCTAGCCACGCAGCCGAAGTATGACAACTTGAAGATTAGTTCGAGTCGGGGCTTCCGCGTTTGGCTCAGGGCCGAGGCTTGGGAGGACAAGGACAAGCTGCCCGGCCCACAGGGAAAGTTGGGCTTGCGATCTTTTAACTTGCCACGAGGTGCTGTCAGGTGATGGCACCTGACATTTGTGGGTGCTATACCCGATGTTTGTTGGAAGGACTATGAACTTCAATACCAGTTGTGGCAAATGACAAACAAGATGTCACGTGTCGAATCGTTGTGGGGTCCGATCCACCCCAGCCGGCGGCATTCGTATTTTTCATATGTGCGCATCGAACACCTGAGGTCAGGCTCTTTGCGTGCGAAGCCGTGCTGGCAGAGCTTCAGAGACTTGCTTTTCTGCTTTTGGTTCTCGAGCTTTCTTGCACCGTCGAGCTTTTAGTATTTAGTTCAGTTTGAGTTTGAATGCTAACAGGGATTCAGAGATCTTTTAGGCACCCGACCATCGTCGCTCCAGTGTTCATGAGTTCTTGCCGAAGTCAAAGACGACATGTTTTCGCAAAGTGAGCGAAGCGCGGCCAACCTGCATGGCTCACAGAGACCTGGTCTTGCTTTTAGCCAGCTTGCGAGGAATTGCTTTTGGACAGCTTCTTGACGCAGGGCGCTCTTTTGTTTGACACGATTCGACCTTGGTGATCCACTAAGGTGAGGGCACTGTGGGAAATAGAAAGTTTCAAGCAATGAAGACTTGGCAGCTTTTGAGGCTCACTCCAAGAGTATTGAGCCATGGTGGTCTTGCATTGCTTGCTTGCCTTGATATCTCAAGGACTGCCACTTGCAGCAGTCGGGGATGGGAAACTCGTTTTCGCTGCTGCTTCTCCTGAACATCTGCGTCATTCCAGTCCCGAACTTGTTCCAAAGCCTGCCACAAGCCCATCATAGCTGCTAGCAGATGCAGAAAAGGAAGGTGTGAGACTGATAAACGGGGCGATCTGAAAGCAATCTGTGACACTTTTCTGGATGTATGCAGCTTAGCGCAATCAAGCCTTTATGGTGGAATCCCGGCTCAACACTTGGGTTGGTTTAACAGCAGGGACTGGGTACTGGTGCTGCGGATGCTGCTGTGGAGAAGTTTGAAGCTGGCCGAGTGATCGAGCACCGGTGCTACGATGATGATTGGAACCATGGCCATTTTCAGGCTCAGGGCTTGGCTTAGCAGATATGAACGTCTGTTTGAGGCAGACCACTTGCTGGCAGAGGACGGCTACTATGAATGGTTTGCTCAAAGGAGCAGTTTTTCATCTATGCTCTGGCAGGGCTGACCGATGCAGATTTTCGGTGAGGGGACAGGAGCGGCTTCTCATCCACATTGACTGCTGGCGCTTTTGCGCCCCCTCCACAAATTTTGGCCGGGGATTACGGTCAGCAAGTGGCCGTAAACCTGGTGAAGGAGCAGCTCGAGGAGATACTTGCCGCAGCAAGGCCGGAGAGGCCGGCCAGGCCCACGCAACCTGCCAGGAAGGAGGAGCCGCCTTGGGCTTGGATGGAGCGCTTGAGGAGTTGGAGGGGGACGCGTCTGATGAGCAGCTGGCCAAATGGGCCGAGGAAGCCCGAGGTCTGAAGGCTGGTGCAGAACAGAAAACAAGGGGAAGGCAGACTGGGTGGAGCCTTTCTCAGCAAGTCCTCAGAAAAAAGAGGCTTGAACGATGTGCTTGCGAGGAGAGCGTCTGATCGGGCTGAGGAAAGAAGAAAGGAGCCAAGAAGAAGGTCGCCAAGGAGTGAGAGTTCTGGCTCAAGAGGTCGCAGCCGTCGCCGGGAGAAAGAGAAGAGAAAGAGGCGCCGCAGTGAGAGCTCATCATCTTCGGACGCGTCGCTTTTTTGCAAGGCCTCCTCTCACAGGGTCGATCTGGTAAAGCTGAGCATGCGCAAGCCAGGTTGTCTCTTGAGGAGCTCGCTGCGGGAGATGAGCAAGTATCTCTCATCTCCAAGCAAAAGGTGCTCATGTACTTGCAGCTAGTGGTGATCAATCAGCACGGGCCAAGGCTTGGCTTGAGGAGCCAGCGCGAGCTCACAACGCTTGCCACAGCCCTGGACTTTCTTCTGGAAGCGAGCGGTTCAAAGCCATCGAGCCGCCGGGACTCGGCGAAGCGGCCCCCTCCGTGACGCCAGACGGAGCCTGACACCTCGGAGAGTGGAAGCGCCCAAAGAAGCTGGGGTGGTGAGCCGGGTCAGCGCCCTGAGGGGGTGCAGGAGTGGAGCGAAAGAAGAAGGATGGGGGATCGATGGGAGCAGCTGGGAAGGCACCACTGCGTGTAGTGAGTATTCGGGAGGAGCCGGAGGAGATGGATTGATCGCCGTCCGAGACTACTTAGGTAGGGCGGATTGGCGTTCCAAAAGTGCTTCGCAGATTGGCGTTGCCTTGTGCCACGTGTTGCAGAATAGCTCCGGAAGGTATGCGCTGGAAAGAACCGGTGCACCACCTCCAGGGAGAGCGACCCGGTGGCGGGATGTCCTCCCTTTGCCATTGCCCGCAGAGGTTAAGCAGCGCATTCGAGAGGTCTTACAGTCTGAGAGGTTGGTTGTGAGAAAAAAGAGGCTCACTGGTGCTCAGGTGAGTCAGGAACCGAGGAACCGTGGAGTGGCGTGTTGGGTGTACTTGATGGTGACTGCGCTGAATTTCTTGTGGTGCGGACTGAGGAGCAATCCCAAGCGCAGTCATGGCCCCCCTTCGGAAAGTCAGGCAGACTCGTGAGATGGGCAAGAGAAGCCCCGAACTCCCAGCGAGGGGTGGAGTGCCAAAGTTGCTTCCAGCCACGTCTCCTACACGGGCGAAGTACTGGCAAAAGCAGAGCACCTGGAATTGGAGCGAGTCCCTCGGGCAGGACATGGCGGGATCGTGGACATCTTGGACGTGGTGGAAGGAGAGCTGAGAGAACACGAGGAACTGCCTGAAGTCATTGCACGCCCCAAGGTGAGAGTGAAGGTGCAAGATGTGGCACTATTCAAGGACAAGACCCCGGTGCTGAACGGGCTTGTACACTGTTCAAGCCTATGTTGCGGACCTTGGCGGGGGCAAGCGCTTGGACTAGGGTCTTGCTGCCGGATGGGCGCGTTATCACGATTTCGGGTGACGATTTGCAGAGGAGCTTTTATTTGTTTGCTTTGCCAGACAATTGGCTACCCTATTTGGCTTTCGAGCGCAAGATTGCCTGGAGGGATCTGGAAACCTTTTTGGCAGCCGCAGTGCTACCCATGGAGTTTTCCAGTTCAGCACATACACCGGAGGCTTGCCCTGTGGGAGCAGCATCCAGGAGCTCAACTGCGCCAAGCCATGAAAATTCAAGGACAAGGTGTGGCCCAACATGGAAGGGGAGGTGCCAGCTTGGTCTCTGTACTTGGATGATTCCACCTTGCTGGAAAAGGTTGGAGGAGAAGCGAGAGACGCAGTTGTCAGGCCGAAGCCTGCCGGAGCAAGAAGCGCTTAGAAGCTTGGGGCATTCCATGGAACGCCGAGAAGGCCTTGGAGCGGCGCAGCCAGGCCGAGCGGCTAGGCGCTTTTCTGGATGGACGAGTTGGTCGCATTGGAACTTCGACGAGCCGAAACTTGGAGGCCATAAGCCTGGGTTTGTGGCTGATGAGTTTGGAAGGCAACAGCCAGAAGAGCTTGCAGGTTTTTGGCGGGAAGGAAGTCCGTTGCCTCCAGTTTCGGCGGCCTTTATTTTCTGTGTACGAATGCTTATGGAGCCACATTGTGAAGATGCAAGACTGCCGGAGAAGGTAGTAGAAGAGATGTTGGTCAGCATGATGATGGTCCCGTTGCGCTTCACCGACTGGCGAGCAACCCCAGACCCGCTGGTGACAGCGACCGATGCCTTGGAGAAAGGAGGTGGCTTTGTCATTTCAAAAAGCTTGACGGGCAGAGGAGAAGCTGAGCTACGTCGGTTGCTGGCTGAAGACGCCGGCCGGGAAGAAGACGGCCTTTCAAGTGGTAGTGTTTGATCCCTTTGCGGGTATCGGGGGCTTGCCTCGCGCCTTGGACCGGGCAGGGGTCACATTCAGGGCCATGGTGTCGGTGGAAAAGGATAAGGCCTGCCAACGTCTACTCCGACGAAATTGGCCTGGCAATGTGGAGTACACAGACATCGACAAGATGACGGCAGAAACCTTGGAAACAGAGGTGAGGAAACACCCCAATGTGAGTGGAATCATTGCCGGTGGTGGTAGCCCATGCCAAGGACTTTCCAAGTTGTCCTGCGAGCGGCAGGGCTTGGAAGACGCTTGGAGCAAACTCTTCTTCGTCCTTGCCGACAGACTGGCTGAGTTGGAAAGGCTTGCCAAAGCCAGGGGCCTTTGTGGAAAACGTCGTTTGTGATGATGCAGACCGTGGCAGAATGGCCCCGTGGAGAAGACCAACGCTTGGCTACCTGCAGGTTGGACATGGCCAGCAGAGAGCGCTGGATCCAGATTTGCCACTTTTACTTGACCAATCCCTCGCAGGCGCCCGCCCCGACAGCCAGCAGGATTGACGCAGGCGGATGAAGCTGCCTGCGAGCGGTGGCGACTCGATGACTACAGGTATCCCCCATATGTGTACCAGGAGAAAAAGAACAACTTGGTGAAGGACCAAGCAGGCAAGTGGGCTGTGCTGCCCGCACAGTGCAGAGAAGTGCTGATGGGCTTCCTGAAAGGACACACCTTGCTCCTCAGCCGCACGTTGGGCAAACAGGAAACAGCCCGTGAGCTGGAAGATGTCCGGTGCTCAGCGTTGGGAAACACTTTTCACACCATGGTGCTCGCCGTGCTGCTCAGTGCGCCGTGCAGTAAAGAAGACTTGTTAGTGCATGCACCCATGGCCAAGTTTCAACGTTTGTGGCATTTGTGGCAAGATTTCCAGCTTGAGCATCATTTGATTCAGCCATATAGCTGAAGACGAGGAGGGGCCACCTCAGCCTTTCGCGCTGGGTGTACATTGGACCAACTCCTCGTTCGCGGCCGTTGGGGCCATCTCAAAACGGCCCGTATATATTTGGACGAGGGTTGCCAACAGGCAGCCACGCTCACTCTTACAAGTGCACAGCAGCGTCGCCTGGCTTGGGCAGCTCACTTTTTGCGGCCAAGGCCAGGTTAGGGGCGCGTGGAAGAGGAGGCTTTTGCAGTTTGGTTTTTTGACCACTGGGCTGTCAGGCTCGAGAGGCAGTCCAGACATGGTTGGTCATTCAGAAACCTTTCAGTAAACTCGTGGTGTGCCGATAAAGCAGAGGGTGCGCGAGTGGCTGCATCAGAATCTTCTTCCCTTTCCTGTCTCTCACTTGGATGCTTTTTGCTCTGTCTCCTTGGACTTCACTTGCACTTTGCAGGAGTCTTGGCGAGCCCTCACGAGGCGCTTGCCCGCGGCCTTCAGATCTGTCAATATCTGCGATCGAACGGTGGTTTTTCCGGCAAATGTACATTTAAACACAGCCACCCAAGTTGTGGTTTGCCTTCTGGTTTTCCCTTCGAAACACGAAAAAAAGGGGTACCCTCGTAAAAAGAGACACCCGTATGCACATGTGTGCATGGGCTTCATGCAGGTCCTCCTTGAGATTTGGCCTGCCTGGGCCACACATTTTATTGCATGCTTGCGGTGCGCAGGACTTTCAAGCTCGGGCCAGCACCCACCGCACTCACCAGGCGTACGCGGGGCCATCCTTGCACAGGACAAGAAGAGTTCTGATTCCACGGCATGGGGAAGAGGGGGGGACGATTGATTCATTGGGAACACACGAGCACCATGCATTTTTACGCGGGCCCTATTGTTGTAGTGCAATGCTGCTGACAGCAACTGCCCAGGCTGTGTCGAAACTGGACAATTGCTCTGCAATGCCGGCCTCAGGTGACAGGTACGTGAGGGAGCCTTCCGTTTGGAGATCCATCCGTTTTTGTCCTTTGCCCCATATATTTGTTGTTTTTTCAGGAGGCTGCAAGAGTCTCAGACCTGCGAGCAGGTCCATGCAGCTTCCGGGCTGCATAGATGGGCTGGGCGGGTTGGGTCGTCAAGGGCGCGGCTCGCTCCATTTTTTGTCGGCCGCCCATAGGGAAAGAACAACAAGTGCCGAAAAACATGAGTCAGGTGATGTCTAGATGTGTGTTTGGGCGTTGGTGCTGTTTTCTGGATGCGAGATTGGCAAGGTTGCGACCTTGCCTGACGTCGCCCCCAGTGGGCACGGCCATTCTGATAGAGCCCAAGTGCCCATGACAGATTTTAGAATGCTCCCCCTTTTCACAGAAAAGCGGGAGGCGGGGGGTCTTTATGCCGGGATGTGCAGGCTGGCAGCTGGGGCCGGATTAGGCACGGTGGGTGGCTGGTTCCGGTTTGCTCCAGGGAACTCTGCACAGGGTTCCTTGTTGGGCAACCCAGTGGGCTTAAACCCAGGGGTTTCCCTTTTGGCGAAATCAACCACCCCTGGGTTTAAGTCGACTTTGGGGTTGTCAAAAAACGGAACCCTGACTCTGCAAGCCGCATGAGGGACAGCAAAAGGCGCGCGTGCTGCTTCTGTTTCCTGCAGGATAGGCTACGAGTTCATGAACCAGGGCTCCGTGGCGAGCGACCTGCTGGCCCTGACGGACACCCTCATGGCAGCTCCGCACAGGGGTGAAGATCTGAAAAGGGTAGCCATGAAAAGGGGGAGCCATGAAAAGGGTACTGGTAAAAGTCAAGCCAAAGCGGCTGGGCACGAACACCGCTTGGCCATCCCCAAGGGACCGGACCAAAGCAGAAAACCCGCAAACGGAACGCGTCCATTTCAGCCATGGGCCCTCGCCGCTTTTTGTCCGTGTCCCGCCTGATGGGAATGCCCGAAGGCGAAGGCGGTGGCCTTCTGGTCCTCCGCACTAGAAGTGCGGCGCGCCGGGCGCCCCGGGCGCCCCGGGCGGGAGGCTTTCGGCTTGCCGAGCGCAAGGGACCTCCGGGCACCTGAGGAGATTCCTTGGGATGTGAACGCCACAGCTTCTTTGTGACGTGGAAGAAACTTTTATCCTAAGATGATCCTTCTTATTTTTCTGGTAGGGGTGATGGCAGCGAAAAGTCTGGCGAACTCAGGCACAGCAGCCCCTGAGAATGGACCGCTCCGGCACAGGCTGCTTCAAGTACGACGCTAGGTCGCAGTTGGGGGCCTGTGTTCAGGTTCATCTCCGTTGGTTTCCGTGAATGAGTTTTCCAGGGAACTGGGCTACTGCGGTCAACCGCATATATTGGTCAGAAGGGATCCACTTGTCACCATCAGTTCGGATCTTGTTCCGGGAAGTTTTCACCGCAAGCCGCGCCAGTCCGGGTCTGGGTGCACAGTTTTCACCCGAAGCAACCTTCGCCGGTCTGTGAAGGCCTTCGACACGGAGTGGCGTTGCGCCACCGTGCAGAGTCGCATGTGCGGCGCGGTGACGGTTCCTGACCAGTACCTCAACCGCATGCGCGCATGCCAGCAGACTTGCGCCGCTTGGCTTTTGGAGAGAATTCCCAGGTCCACTGAGCGTCCCAAGAATTCAGTCCAAGGCTGTTGTTTCCAGCACCTTGTGCTTTGAACAACAGCTCATTTCTGTGTGCCGCACTCGCACTGCGGTGTGTTTTGCCATCTGATGTCAGACTTTGAGCCCCGTTGCTTAGTTTCCTTTTGGCGCTGCCCAGAGCCCTGAAAACGCTCAGAAATGGGTTGCATCTGAGGTTCCGAGCATGAGCTGCGGAGGGGCCTGTGCTTCAGGCTCACGCGAGGGAAGTTGCAGCGAAGGTATGGCTTTGAGGCCTGAAGGCATGACAACCTGGGCCAGCATAACCTGAAGGGCCAAAAAGCCAGAGGCCAGTTGATGTCATTTCTCCATCCGGGTTGCCGGGTCGGTTTCGCTTCTGTTTTGTCACCGTGCGTTTGCTTTTGCGTGGGGGTTTTCCATGGCGTGGGCGCGTGGGCGCGTGGGCGCGTGGGCGCGTGGGCGCGCGTGCGCCAGGCGGCTCCTGCGCATGCGACGTGGACGAGTGGCGGGCGCAAGGGGAGAGCTACTGCTGCAGCATGTCGCCTGACGGCTGCCCCGAGGGCTGCTCCCTAGCCACGGCCACCAAGGCGAGCGGGCGCCGTCGGGGTTTTTGATTTTTGTTTTCTGCGGCTTCGGCCTATGTTCCCGAATACTGCTCGCACAAGGAACCCCTGCAACTTTCATGTGGGTTTCCTGCTGGCAGAAGCAACAGGCATTGCAATGGCCAAACCTATGCAGTACCACCTGAGGCACGCGGGCAAATGTCATTGTGTTCCACAACGACGTTGGTTTCTGTTCAGTGGCTACTCCACTTTTTGATGGCCTTTGTCAGGTGGGCAATGGCACGACCGGCAGCTTCGTTTGTGAAGATCAATGCACCGAGGCGGCGGAGGGGGCTGGGGCGGAGAATGAGGATCTGCACATCTTCGTGACCGTTGAGGATGGGCCAAAAGAACTGCGCCATGTTGGGAGAGCTCCCAGATGGGAGTTGCTGATTGAAACCGCACTTCCTACACCTTCCTTTTTTGTGTATTTGGGTTATGCAATTGGAAAGCATTGCAGCCACTGTATGTTTTTTCTCGCTGGCCTTCTGTGCGGGAGTCCATTTCAAATGTTCTGCAGGACACCTCGGATTGCCAGGGCTCCTCGTCCCTTTTGGCCTACGCGCTCTCGTGCGCCGTGGACCAGTGCGACCGCCCGGTCTTCGGGATGATCAACTTCTGCCCCGGCAAGCTGGGTGGGCAGGCGCCGCTCACGAGAGCGAGCGTGCCCACTCTTGTAGCTAACTTGCAAAGTTCCTGATATTCTTCATGTAGTCCTGGGGTTAATCCACTACTAAAACAAAGGGGTTAATGTAACCATTACTGCTTACCTGAGGCGTGTTGCATCATCCACAATGGGTCAACCAGTCTTGAAATGGGGTTGAACATTGGGTGTAGGGCTTGCCCATGAAGAGGTGAGCGAGACAGAGCTGACGTCCACGGCGGTGCACGAGTTGGCGCACGTCCTGGCCTTCAGCAGCAGCCACTTCCGGAACTTCCGCAACGCCGACGGGTCCCCGATGATCCCGAGGCAGCCCCAGGAGAGGTTCGGGGAGATTTTTTGGGGAGTCCTTGATGTATTTTTTTGTGAGAGGGAAGGATAGGCTCACCTTACCCTTTTCTGGCTTGGACTAAAGGGTCGGCCTATCTTGACACGCGCACACGAAGGACATGTTATTGTGAATACATAGGCACACCTTTGTTTTGTTCTTGTCTTTTCTGGTTTCATTCGAGAGTTTTTCTTGAGGGTACCCTTTGTTGGCTTGGATTAACGGGCCCGCCTATTTTGACACACACACACACACACTGGGGAGAGCACACGCACACCCAGTTGGACATGCGCCTTGCTGCTTGGGCTTTTTGAGGACGAGACCAGGCACGTGGGGGAGGTGTTCTACAGCTGCAGCAGCTCCGGGTACAACTGGAACGTGTCGTATGGCACCCGGAAGCACCTGAGCAGCAAAAGACCTGGCATACCTGGATTTTTGCAAAGCATACCTGGGAAAGCAGCGACACTTTTCGGGCGCTTCGCTTGCCAGAGGTTAAAGGGGCAGCTTTGGCAAGCGGATTGATTCTGCTGAGGTTAGTTCATACTTTGCAGGTAGTCTATAGTAGGATAAATCGGGGGGCATGCTGAGTGTCACACTGGAACATTTCAGATGGTTAGGTTTGGAGTTCGAAATGCATCCCAAGGTCCAACAAGTTTGGACCGGGTGACTGGGCGACTGGGCGACTGGGCGAGGTATGTTGACATCAGCCCAACCATTGTGGACGTTTTCTCAGAACGAGGCTACGACCAGTGCGAGTGTCCTATTGGAACGACTTCCATCTCCTCAGGAGACAAGCTGCCATGCGACTTGAGTTGTCGCGCAGTCCAATGGCTCTCAAATTTCGTGGTTGGATCATACTCAAGCATTGTTGGTTGCAACGATCCCCATGTTCGTTTTTTGTACCTGCCAGAGGGCTCAACCTATCTGTGCTTCTGAGGGTTCTTAGGCATGGTTGCCGCTCTTTTTGGGAGCGAGCCATCTGATGTTTCTGAAAGTTGATTTGGCAACTCCGTAACCTGCCCTTTCGAAGGGTTCCAAATGGGCTGAAGACGAGGCAAAAAGCAAACGCCTGTCGGGATTCATCACAAAATGGGGGAATACCACCAAAGTGGGTGGTTTTTGTCTGGTTTTCCTTAAACCCCAACAAGTGATTCCCCCAACAAATAAACAACCCGTTCTAAAGGCGGATCCCACATTGCTTTTTCGGCCGCCTACCTGCATGTATATCGGCTCTCCCCATTTTCCCATCAACAAGTTGCCCCCAAACGAACCAAGAGAAGAAGGTTCATTTCCATTTCACCATGTCCTGGAGACATATGGAACTTCGGATGGCTTTTTGGGCAGGTCACTGTTTTTTTTTTTTTTTTTTCCAGGATGCTTCCTGCCGGCGGAGGGGTTCCAGACCCCGAGCTGCGTGGTGCGCATGACGACCCCCGCGGTGCTCGCGGAGGTGAGGGACTTCTTCGCCTGCCCCGGGCTCGCAGGCGCCGAGCTGGAGAACCAGCAAGGCGGGATGGGAGCGTAATGTTAACCCCGGATTAATAAACCCCGGGTTGATGAATCGGGGGGTGTCCCCTTTAAGTGGGGATTCATCACTTTTGGAGGGAACACCCCCCTAATAGTGGGGCGGGTTTATTAATCCTGGGTCAACATTAGGAGCCAGGGGGGCCGAGGGTCGGATGGGAATGAGCGTAGGAGCCAGGGCCGAGGGTCGTGAGCAGGGTGACAGTCATTGTGATGGACTTGTAACGGCCGGCACCATCTTTTGCAGTTCTGTGATCTTGTTGGTGACCAAATTGGACTCTCCTCATTATAAGGTCCCGTCCGACCGGTTTCTCGGTTGGGCTCAAGCTGGAATTCACTGAGTTTAGTCTTCTGTGTCCTTATGGCCATTCCAAAGGAAGCAGAGGGGATCATGGCGGCGTTTTTCACCGCAATCTTTTTGACCTTCAACCTCCTGCTCAGCAAATGGCTGCAGGACCGGCACTGGCCGTACTTCTTCCTTGCCGGCCTCTCATCTCTGTGCATCACCCTGAGCTTGGTGATCACCATGATTTGCCAGAAGTCCTACTCGCTTGAGCGAAGGGAGGTGAAGTGGGTCATCTTGCGAGGATTCTTCGGCTGCGGAAACAATGTGTTGCAGGTGTGTGCCGTCCTGGCCGGTGCTTCAGTGGGCTCAGTTGGCGCTTTGGCGAGCGTCAACACGGTGGTTGCAGCACTTCTAGGAAGAGTCGTGCTCGGCGAAGCCCTCGGAAAGCTACATGTCCTGGCGATGGTCTTCTCCATCATTGGTGCTGTTCTAATCTCTGACCCGGAAAAAGCCATGGCGACCATGGGATCCAGCGTCTTCGGCAACTTCTTGGCCTTGTTAGCTGGCATCTCTCTGGGCTGCATGTTCATCAGCTCCAGGAAATCCGGTGGGGCGTCCTCCATGATGCTGACGAGCTCCGCTATGCTTCAGCGATGGATCGTTTGTTGGTTACTGCACTTCATCCCTGCTGTGCCTGATGGACAAGTCCAGGTGGTGGGAGAAGACCTGCCCAAGAGCTTGCTGCTGTTTGTCTGCCTGACAGTTGCCATCTTTGTGACCAACATCTTTGCCTCTGTTGCCTCCAAAAAGTGCCCTGCAGCCTTAAGCTCCACGGTGATGAATGGCTCCCAAATGGCGTGTGGATATTTCATGGACATCCTAGTCTTCCATGAAGCTCCCACCATGCTTACCATCACCGGGGCCGCCATGATGTTTCTGGCGGTGATTTCTATGGCCCTCACGCGGCTGCCGGCCAGGACCGAAGACCTTTCTGCCGAGCCCACTCGCATGGCCACCACCACCAGCTTGGCTTCCTTCGCAGCCTCGGAATTCGCGGAGCGTCAGGAGTCAATGGCCTCCGAGCTGCCCGGCTTGCCCGAGCCGAACACCGCAGGACCCAGGCAGCGCTTGCCAGCGGCTGACCTCATCGGTGTCAAGGCATAGCTTGATGGCCAATCTTCTCAGGGTGCTAGCACTCTCTTGGGATGGGTTACAAAGGCCTTCCCACTTTATGTTGTCTTTTGTGCTGGGATTCGACTTCCCAAGAGCAATCTGATGCAAGCTGCAAAACAGGTTATCAGTAGCCTCAAGGCTACAAGCCCCTCAGTCCGGAAGATCGGATGTACAGAATATACAGAGGCATTGCCATGGCTCCCCTTGTAAAGTGCTCTGGCGCCCGTGGAAACCGACTCCATGTCCGCCCTGACCCCGTTTTTGGGGGGATGTAACACAAGTTCAAGGAAAAGGAGGCCACACCCAGATGGTGTAGCGATACATGGTGATCCATGCAGATTGTGTCACCGTATCACATAAGGATCATGGTGTGATTATGTTACTTTGAACAAGAATCGTTCTATATAATTTTTCTTCATGTTCTTTCAGGGTATCCCGCAAGTATGATTGCCATAGTTTTATTTGGCATCAGGGACTTTACCTCTTAGAAGAAAAAAACATCGAAGAAAGTCCTGAAGTTTTCCCATCCCCTGCCACTTGATACTTCTGCTTAGGAGGGCGATTCACTTCCGCACAGCAAGGCTTGTAGACTCGGATCAAGAAGCTAAGCAAGGGTTGGCTTTGTATTGCTGGGGCTGTCCATGAAATTGCATGAGTCATTACCGTTTGTAGGTGATGGCTCAAGGGGAGGGTTCACTGTATTGATGAGAAGCAATATAGAGCTGAGAGTGAGAGCCTGAGCGTATTGACCAAGCGTATTGACATGTATTGACTTTCCAGTGTCTCCATGTGGCTCTGACACGGACTTTCGGCTTTCGCCATAGCCTACTGTATATGAAGTTTTGTACGGTTTTATATCAATGTTTTATCATTATTGTGTTCTTTACATTATTCTTTGACATTAGTGGAAATGCGCGCCGTGCCACAGTCGCGGGAGCCCGCGGAAGCTTTGCTTTGCTTCATATGAACTAGAAGGGAATTAAAAACACTACTCATCAGTGGATCCAACCTTGTATTTGCTATAGATGTCGTGTTACAATTTAATTTTCAGAAAGTCATAGCAACAACAACACAATACACAATCAAATCAAGTTTACCAGACATGTTACATGTCCTAATCTTCTTTTTTGTTGATTAATTTGTTGTTTGTTTGTTTGTTTGTTTGTTTGTTTGTTTGTTTGTTTGTTTGTTTGTTTGTTTGTTTGTTTCTGTAAAATATGTACACTTTTCCCCCATGCATGCATGACAAGCAGTATGGACTCTGCCACTTTGGTGGCTCAAGGCAATGAGGAAAAGGGTGCCGCGCCACTACACTTGCTTAGGCTTGTGTTTGGTGTGACTGTAGAGCACTTGGATTTTTTACGGTAGCGGAGCTCTGGCACTTCCAGATCATCCGAAAAACTTTGAAGTTTGAGCCATGGAGGCGCACTTGTGGATGACACTGGAGATGTGGCTGGCAGACAACGGTTCGCCATCCGAGTGGGAAGAGACTTCTGTGCGATCGGTGTACTTGACAGAGTTGAAGGTAGAGCTGAGCCAGTTCTGGATGAGGACTTGGCGATCACTTTGGACACTGGAGACCAAGACGTGGAAGCATCAAGAAAGGCGGTGACTTTCAGCCGGAAGTTGCACTACTTGCTGGCAAACCTCACTACAGACACTGCAAGACTTATAGTGAGGCAGAACACTGAAAGCAATGGCTTTGAGACTTGGAGGCGACTTTTCCACAAGTTTGCACTGGCACAAGGCATGTCTCACTTTTAACTCAGCTCCTAGACTTCAAGTTTAACCCAGCAACTTTTGACGCGGACTTTAATACTTGGGAAACCATTAAAGTCAAGTATGAGCGACAGACTGAAACGGAACTTCCCAATAGCGTGTTAGTGGCGACTTTGCCGAATAAGACCACCGGAGCTTTGCAGCAGATCTTGCGACTTAATGCAAGGTCACTTATACCTATGCGCAAATCAAAGACGTCATAGTGGAGTACTTTCGTTCGCGACACATCCTCACTTCGAACAACAACAATGGCCCAGCACCAATGGACATTGGAGCACTTTGGAGAAAAGGAAAAGGCAAAGGAAGCTCACTTTGGCAGAAAGGCAAAGGTAAAGGACTTTCAGGCAAGGCCAAAGGCAAAGGCAAGGGACTCCACTGCGACTTTCACGCAAAAGGAAAAGGCAAACCAGGTAAAGGAAAGGACTTTGGAAAGGACTTCGGAAAAGGAAAAGGCAAAGAGAAAGGCAAAGGCAAGAACTTAGGTTCCCAACTTTGCTGGACTTGTGGTAGGCCAGGTCACTTGTCTAGCACTTGTCCTAACAGAAGAGCGAACGCACTTGAGGAAACAGAGGCACTCCAGGACTCGTCCTGGTTGGCAGAGGAATCGGGGAACTTTGTGTACTTCGAGATGATGCTTGGTGGCATGATGCTTGGACTTGGGAGTCGGACACTTGGGGTTGCTCGCAGCCCGATGTCACTTCCACTTCGGAGAGTGGTGTAGCAGCCAAGAACTTGACAAAGAACTCTTCAGGAGCAGATGCTTCGGCTTCTGGCTCACGTGGAGTGGCTGCAATCACTGCAAGCCACCGGGACTTGCAACGCCTAAGGCTAAGCCTGCTCCAAAAGCATCTGGGGCTTCCAACTGTATGTTGGCTGCCATCATGCTTGGAAGCTTTGGCACTGGGAGTTCCTTTCCACTTGGATGTGGAAGTGTCAAGACTGATGACATGATGACTGGCGTGGTTGACTTTGACTCTTGGTTTGCTTGGTCGAACTTGTTCGTGTGGCAACTTGTCGGAGACGTCGGTTGGCTTGCCAGTTGCGCCACTTGAGACTGTCGCACTTGACGGACCTGCCCGTGCTCTCAAGCTTGATTTGAAGTCAAGGTACAAGGTCGAACTTTCAGTTCATGACCCTCTGTATACTTGTCTCATCAAGCATGCTCAATGGCTGCTGAACCGCTACTTGGTCAAAAGTGACGGCCGCACCCTGTATGAGAAACGATGGGGTCGGAAGTTCACTTCAGCCATTTGCAGCTTCGGAGAGACGTGCGCTTTTCGGAAGCCTGGACTTGCAAAGTCACAGCCCCAACTTTGCAAGGGCGCATGGCTAGGCATGTGCACGGAGAGCGGAATGCACTTCTGCGCTGACAGCTCTGGCGTGTTTAAGACACGCACGGTCAGGCGACTTTCGCCTTCGTTCCAGGTTGATGTGGAACTTCTGAAAGGCGTTCGTGCGAGACCTTCGGACTTCGGTTGAGACGGATCGCTTTGTGCTTCCTCTTCAGCCAGAGCAACCTCCAGGACTTTCGTCCGAGGGGGCGCAGGCTTCTAAGCCCGCTGAGCCCAACTTGGCGCAAGATGACGTTCCTGCGTCCGCACTTCAAACTGACCGTGATGATGACTCTGGCGATTTGACTGCAGGCGCAGCGTCATCTGGAGTACGGCGACCGCTTGAGAATCCGGACGAGGGGATTTTTGGGTCTCCTCGACCTCCGCGTCGGAGACATGATCCGGATTCCCCGTCGGAGCGGAAGCGTACTTCAGCCGAAGAAGCAGAATCCGAACAAGGCAGCAAGATTCAGCGTGTGTCGGCGCTTACGCGCCCTGAACTTGCTGACCAACGGATGATGCTCTACGACTTTCGGATCTCAGCTGTCACCACAAAGGACTTGCTTGAAGCTCCTGTTGTGGTGAACCAGGATGAGTCTGGACTTTTGCTTATGAAGACGCTTGAAGATCCGTACCTGTGGTATGACACGGAGTTTCAACGCGACTTGGAGATTGCAGGGATGAAGCGCGAGATGCACTCGATGTTGGACTTTGACGTGTTTTGCGAAGAGCGTGTTGATCAACTTACCCAAGAGCAACTTGACAACGCCATTTCCACGAAATGGGTCAAGACTCGCAAGCCGGACGGCAGCGTCCGCTGCAGACTGTTCGTTCGTGGGTTTGATCAAAAAATTGACGACTTGGATGACACTTTTACGAGCACACCCTCACTTGTCACATTGAAGTTGCTGTTGACACTTGCTGCGTCGTTCAACTGGACGACATGTCCACAGCTTTTCTCCACGCACTTATCACTGGAGAAGACATCCGCGTGATTCCTCCGAGTGAGTTTTACCCTGACGGGAACATAGTGTGGAAACTTAAGCGTGCGCTTTACGGGTTGAGAAACGCTCCACGACTTTGGCAAGATCACTTCGCCTCCGTCATGGAAAAGAACAACTTTCGAAGAATGAAGAGCGACCCTAACTTGTACGTGCGCAAGCAAAAGCGACTTTATATCTTGTGTTATGTTGATGACTTGATGTTCTTTGGGTCACAGCCGGATATTCAGGCTGCCATCAGTGACTTGAGTAAGGACTTGATCCTGAAGGTAAGTGGCCACCTCACAGATGGCAAAGAACTCACTTTTCTGGGCGCAGACGCATCAAACGGCGGGATGACTCGTTTCAACTTTACATGCCTGACACGTATATCAAGAACTTGTTGGAGGAGCTTGAACTTGAGAACGCGAAACCTGCGCTTACACCTGTGCCACCTTGAAAACCAAAGGTGTTTCTGAACCACTTAGTGCAGAAAGGAAAAACAGTACCGAAGACTTGCCGGTCAACTTCTGTGGTTGTGTGATGTTCGGTGTGATCTTATGTATGCGGTGAAGGAACTTTCACGTGGACTTAACGCACCGACAACAGACCACTGGGCTAGGTTGCGACACTTAGGTAGGTACTTGGCTGGCACAAAGCACTTGGTTCAGCGTTTGAGGCCAACGGTGAAACTTCACGACAAACAGGAAGCACTTGACATCAACACTTATGTTGACTCGGATTGGGCAGGATGTAACGACGCCCGTCGTAGCACTTCAGGCGTCGCACTCTTTGTGCTAGGTGTGATCGCATAGGCGCACGCAAGCAACGGTGGCACTTAGCAGTGGAGAAGCGGAACTTTATGCTATCGGGTCGGGGGCTGCAGACTCCTTGTTTATCCGGTCACTCATACTCGAGTCAGGGCTGTTTGAAGAAGCCAACTTGACGGTCCATACGGGCTCGACAGCTCGCAAGAGCATGGCAGGCAGGTTTGGAACTTCCCGCAAAACCAAGCATGTTGACTTGCGTCGCTTGTACATGCAAGAGCTGGTCACTTCTGGTCTGATCAAATTGCGGAAGGCTTTCCGGGAACTTTAAATCCTGCAGATGTCATGACTAAGAATATTAGCAAAGACACTTTGGCAAAGCATCTACCCACTTTGGGGATTTCCATGATGTGAACTTTTCTAGTAGCTCGCCTTTCACCCCATTTCAAATTCGGTGAGTGGGAACTTAGTGAAGCTTTTGGTTCAAGACTTCAAACATTGCATGACTTGACATTGCCGCCGTTGCCGCTTTTCTCACTTGCATTTTGGTGATGATGGCACTTCTCCTCACACCGGATAGAGCAGGGACATTTTTGCTCCCTTGCCACACTTACAGACCTCTTCGAGGAGCACAGTGGCACCTTTGAAAGATGCCTACACCATTTTCGGTATTTACTTCTTGGAGGTTTATGCCAACTTTTGTGGCGATCATCATGACTGGAGAGCAGCAAGAGGTCATGCCATTTGACCTCACGACTTTGGATCACAGCACGCAGAGTGGGAACTCCTTTTGGACGACTGTACTTTTCCCAAATATTTTGGTTGGAACTTCCACGCTGGAAAGGTGCGTCTTGTATGAGTTTCGGCTATGGTCATACCAAGCAAGATTGAATCAAGATCAGGTACTTTCCTTGAGACGACTTTTATGCCCGTTTACCTGTTATCTTGCGCTTCCTGTTCCAGTGATTGAAGCACTTTTGCAAGGCTTGAGTATGACTGGTGCATTGGTCACTTCAGCGGGATCACTTCCGTGGTTGAACAGGCTACTTTCACTATCTTTCAGTGCGCATTTGGATGCTTACTTTCAATTTCAGCATGTCTGCGCGATCTGGATTGCAAGGGACTTTGCAGAATTTCAATGGCAGTGCTGACTTTCAGGCCGTCGTATGAGACTTTGCAACACTGGTTGCGATCTTCGGAAGTAAACTTTTGGAACCGCCACTATGTCGACTACGTTGTGAAGGTTCCAAGTTTGAATCTGCGCTTTGAGACTTCTTCACGGCTGGCTGAACTCACTTCCCATAAGGTGGTTACTTTTCCCAGCTCAACCACCGGGTTCTTGATCAAGTACTTTGACCAGATCACGCAATCATGGAACTTTGTACGTGATGGTCACTTGATTTTGCCGTGGGACGTGTACAGAACACTTTACAGAGAGACAAGCACGGAGGAACATGTGGTTCCTAAGACTTTGTTTCACACCTTTACCAATGCTAGACTTTGAACAGTTTTGCGTGTGAGAAGAGAACTTTGCGTGAGACATCTTGTCATGATCTTTTGGATGAACACTTTTCATCAGGCTGTTGATGGATTAAGTTCTCTTCCATCGGAAGCAGGAACAATTTGTCAAGGCAATTTTTATTGGCGCCCGCATGTAGACTCAGATGCCACTACAATCCCTGTAGGCTGACTTTTTGCATTCACTTTCGTCAGCTGACACTATGAGGAAAACAACTGTTGCAGATTCAACATTTACTGCTTTGTGTGTATAGACTTTTGTGTTGTCTACATTCAACTTTGAATGTATCCAAGGGGGCGTGTCAAATATTTACACTTTTCGCCCATGCATGCATGACAGCAGTATGGACTCTGCCACTTTGGTGGCTCAAGGCAATGAGGAAAAGGGTGCCGCGCCACTACACTTGCTTAGGCTTGTGTTTGGTGTGACTTTAGAGCACTTGGATTTTTTTAAATATTTTCTTTACCGATTCTACCTGTGTCAAGGATTGCATTAATCTTTATGCCTCTTATGAATACTATGCGTACCGTTACAAAACTAATGAATCTGAACAAGTCATTTTTTACAAATATCTTACATGTACAACCCAGAATCCATGTTCAGTTTTTCTTAAACGTTTGATTGTAACGCACATGTGTGTGTATAATAAATCTATGTATATATATATAGATATATACGTACAATGTGGGCGTTCCTTTTTGTAGCATCCCCCCCTTCCCCTCCCCGAAATGGTGGTTTTCCTTGTGATTTTCCTTTGAAGCCCAAGCAGACCTCCATGGATCCTGCTGCCGACTTTGGTTCCCCGAGCCGTCGAACCCCAGGCGACGGGTGCAGCGTCATCGCCTCTCACTGGGAGAGCCGCGCCTTCGCCGGGGAGTTGATGTCCCCCACCTCGGTGGAGCACCTCGTGGGCACCTACCTCTCACGTGTGAGCCCGGGATCCTACTCGAGATCGTTTTTCGGGTTTGGTTGGGTTCGCTCTTTTTTGGGTGTCGTGTTTTGGGTTTCTTGGTTTGGGGTAGGTCCTTAGGTTTGGTTGGGATTGCTATTTTTGGTGAAAAGGTTGTGGGGAGGGGCTGGGATCGAAATTGTGGAGATGTTGATCGTTTTAATTGCAAAGTGGTTGGCTTAATCGTTTGACACGCCCTGATCTCTAACTGGCCCCAACTGTGCGACAGCAAAGGTTGACAAGTTCCGTTTTGTAGAAAGAGTCAAGGTGAGCAACTGCAACTGCATGATCAATTGCTCAGGTAAGGTTTACGTGACCCGCCCTTCTTTTCTTAATCGCTGCAGAAACATGCGGAGACCACTTCTCTCGCTGCAGCAATTATACATTGCGCCATGTTAACTTGGTGGAGCATGTACCCCTTTCCAGCCCCACACCATATCTCGGCAGAACCAGCTTGTGATACACGATGCGTCGCTGCTTCAAACAGTTCGGTTTGAGCAGATTTCCGGCCCTTTTTGCAACAAGCACAAATGCGGGCACAGAATGACACAAATGACCAGTCTCAACAGTTTGAACAAATGACAAGTTTGCAGTCGTGTCCCCAAGCTTGTAAAACCAAACAAGAGAGCGCATTTGGCCAGCCCTGGCGGTGTTTGTGGACTCCGGCTGGTACCGCGCCAACATGTCGGCTGCGGACCCCTTGGTGAAGGGAGTGCATTGGGGGTACCAGCAGGCAGGGCAGGGCAACAGTTGTTCATCAACCAGGCCTTGAGCGCATTAAACAAGAGGCAGCCAGAGGGAGGTTGTTTCAACAGTGGCTTAGCAAAGACAAACGGGATTCTCCAGAAATTTGAGTACAGGAGTACCAAACTCTGTTCTTGGCATGTTTTTTGGTTCTGTTCATTTTTGCCGGGGGCCGCAACCGCACGTAGTTTGTCGCACCAAACTTAGGGAAAGACGAGCCTTAGAATCGTCAGGGCTGCGGCTTCGCGACCTCCAAGTGCATGGACCAAAACGTCCCCGCGGCGGAGGTCTTCTGCAGCGACGTGAACTCCAGGACGGGGGCAGGCCGCGTTTAAGCGATGCAGTGACGTACGCGCCTTGTTGGACAAGGGAGTTTCTCAGTGGTTGCAGAAACAAAGAAACAAGAGAGCAAGCAAGCAACCAAGCAAGCAACCAAATAAGGACAATCAGCCAGCCAGCCAGCCAGCCAGCCAACCAGCCAACCAGCCAACCAACGAACCAACGAACCAACGAACCAACGAACCAACGAACCGACGAACCGACGAACCGACGAACCGACGAACCGACGAACCAACGAACCAACGAACCTACCAACCAACCAACCAACCAACCAACCAACCAGCCAGCCAGCCAGCCAGCCAGCCAACCAACCAACCAACCAACCAACCAACCAACCAACCAACCAACCAACCAACCAACCAACCAACCAACCAACCAACCAACCAACCAACCAACCAACCAACCAACCAACCAACCAACCAACCAACCCC